CATCGTTTTTATTCGAAGTCAGACATGGTTTTTAGGTTTATTTTCCGTGTCAGCAATTTAATTAAATTTTAAAGTAAAGTTAACGGAGCAAAAGTGTCAAGTTAGCATTTAATTGACGGAGGAAAAGGGATGGAAATATAATTAATTTTGACGGGGCCAAAAAGGGATTTTCTTCAGTTGAGAGATTAAAAAGGAGGCTCTATACAAAAATTGAGGGACTCAAATAGGCTTTTAACCTAAAAAATATCAAAAGTTTTAACATATTGACCCATTTTCTTGCATATAGATGGGATTATACAGACATGGACCAACTGCCAGACTACATGAAGACATGTTTCAAGACTCTTTGTGACATAACTAATGAAATCAGTCACAAGGTTTACAAGGAGCATGGATGGAACCCAATTGATTCCCTAAGGAAAACGGTACTAGAACTGTATTCAAGCTAGCTAGCTATTTAGATTTAATAAACATTACAACTCTTACCTCATGAGTGATTCTTTTTGGTTGCAGTGGGCGAGTTTATGCAACGCATTTCTGGTAGAAGCAAAATGGGTTGCTTCACGGTTGCTCCCAAAGCCTGATGAATACTTGAAGAATGGAATACTTAGTTCCGGAGTGCATGTGGTGCTAGTGCACACTTTCTTTCTGTTGGGTCTAGGTTTTACCAAGGAAAATGTGGAGCTATTAAACAACAATCCAGGCATAATATCATCCACGGCGTTACTTTTTCGACTCTGGGACGACCTGGTAAATGCCGAAATATATGTAACATATTTTCTTAGTCTGATTTTTCATTCAGCCCTATGCCACAGATGCAAGTTACAGATATATCATAATGCTGCTGTAAGTGTATATACCACAGGATGAGAAACCCGATGGCCAAGACGTATCTTATGTGGACTGCTACATAAAGGAACATCAAGGCGTCACAGTAGAAGATGCAAGAAAGCATGTTATGCAAATGATTTCAAAGGCCTGGAAGCAGCTGAACAAGGAGTGCCTCTCTCCAAATCCATTTCCTGCATCATTCATAAAGGCTTCCCTCAATATTGCAAGAATGATTCCTCTCATGCACAGTAATGATGCGAACCCGTTCCTTCCAAGTGTGGAGGAGTACATGAAATCCGTTCTATATTGAAGAAAAACTTCGACAGGAAATAGCAATCAGTGAACATGTTAAATGCCAACTCATAGTGTCTTTATGTACCAAGCTACTCCTTTCTCTTTATTTTTCCCATCTAGCTGAAACCGTTAGCTTCTCCAGGTATTAGAATAAGAGTGGTTATCTTCAAATAAAGCAACAAGAACATCAAATCTGTGGAAAGAAGAGTAGTTCAAGTAATAAAATCTAAGTAGCAACGCTATTGTCCAGTAAATTTTTATATTTTCTTGAGCAATCTCAAAACGTTGTTTAGTATTGCTTCTTCTCATTCTTCCTGAAGTTTATGGTTAGCTTCCAGTGTATCAAAAAAATATACGTATACAATCAAGGCAAAACGCATTTTTAAGCCCTTGAACTTACCCCATTTTAGCATATCAGCCCCTGATAAAAAAAACCTACATATAAGCTCTTAAACCTTGCGATCACAGCAAATCAGCCCTCAGTTAACTGATGCAGTTAGTCTCCTTTAATTTGTTCACAGCGTGCCATGTATTTTCCGTTAGTTTCGGTTAATGTATGAAGTGGCAAACAAAGAAAATTATTATTTTAAAGTTAGTCCATAAGCTTCTTAAGTTTTAAACAAAATTAGTCCTTTTAACTTTTCTAACCAAATGCTAGAATTGATGGATTTCTAGATCTGATGTTTATGCATCATCAAACGTTTACTAAATTAAACAACAAAGGAAACCCATTGGACTCACCATGATTAAACTGTTATCATTCCTTAAAATAAAGAAGAAATAAAGCAGTGATGTGGAATACATCCATCTTATAAACCTTGATTTAAGATTAAGATAAGATATTTAAATATAATATTAGGTAGTTAAGGTCAAATCCAAATTTACACCTTAATAATTATTGTTTTTTTTATAGGGAACATCTTTTAAAATTTTCATCCTCAATCAACATCATTTATAATTTAAATTTTGTAAAAAATTTCAAATTACCGATAAAATTATTATGTAAATAAAGACTTTAATTATTAATTATTAATTTTTTTAATAAATTTTAAAAGATATTTATGATAAAAAATAATAATATTTAAAATACAAATAAGAAATTTGACTAACTGTTAACACTTCAATATACGGGAAAAAAAAAAAAAAAAGTACTTCATTGTTTTTTCTCCTTAACAAACCGCCACGCCTTTATTTTCAGGTGTCAAGTCTCAACAACCCTGTCTTTGTTTCATTGCCTATTTCCAAAAAAAAAAAAAAAAACCCTGTCCTTGTCTTCTCATCAGATTCATGATAGGCTCTTAATTGGTTGTTGTTTTTTTGTGGTTTTGATGTATGCCTCTTGTTTTTTTTTTTTTGTAATGAAAGGATCTTAATCAGACACATAGGCACCGAAACATACTTTTTTTTTTTTTTTTAACAAGGATGTATGTCTCTTGTTATTATTATTATAGGTAATGAAAGGATCTTAATCAGACACATAGGCACCGAAACATACTTTTCCAGTGTTCCCACTTTGCTCTGGTCTCTCCATGTCTTACTTCTAAATTAAGAAAAAAGAAAGGCAAAAATCAAAGAGCAGTGGTAGCAGCACCCGCCTCTTCCACTCTCCACCCAACACTTCCACCTTCATTGGGCCACGTAAGCTTATTTTAAGTTTTGAAATGAACCTCTTACCAACCAAGATAACGTGGCCCAATAAAAGTGAAAGTGTTGGCCGGAGAGTGCAGGAGGCGAGTGCCACTAGCACTGCTCAAAATCAAAAGTTGACACTGTTTTTCAAGTGACTAAGAATTATGAGAGGAAGGGTACCATAATGTCTGCCTGCTTTTCCCATGGGCAAACCTACAGTCACTCTCCTCAACGTTATTCGGTGGATATTCGTGTGGCTGCCTTGGACTTAATATTCTTCCTCTTCAACGCTGCAAAATCGAATTAAAGTAAAAACTAAAGTAAAAACGCATGGATTGCTGGGTGGGTATGTATTTAAACTTTAAAGGGAATCATGGTGAACTGTAGGACAATTTGGTGAAGGCTTTGCTAGGAAATTTGAGGGAGGTGATGAATTTCTACTTTATTTGGACCAAATTCTACTCTTTTATTATTATCTTGCTAATCAATTTGGCTCATGTCCAACAGGGAACCTTTCTGACACTTTAAGATATTCAATTGTATTGATAAAATAATTTTTTACAATTTCAATTACAAAAATTTATTTATAGTTAAAAGTCTCATATTTTATAATTTAAACTATATTAAATTGTAAAACAAAGATGATTAAACAAAAAAAGACCCATATTTAACAATCATTGTTATATAGTTTGAATTACATGATAATTTTTTTTTGTATAGTTAAACACTTCTATAAAAAAAAAAAAAGGTCTATGATAAGCATGAGATAATGAAAGCAGAAAGTGAAAGCGTAAAAAGAAAGGCATAAGCTTAGTTATGAAATTTTTTCTTCCCATGCCTAGAGGATTACATTTCCAAAAAAAAAAAAGAAGATAATAAAGGAGCTGAGCTTAGTCACATAAACTAAAAAGAAGAATTTAACAAAAATAATATGTTCATATTTCAGAAGATAGTATCTCATAAATTGGGTTCGAGCATGAAGGATAGCCACTCAATGACTACCACAACAACCAAGAAAAACCAAATATTAACATGGTCCCAAGCGCTCAGAAACAAAATAAAGTGAGGATGCGCCGTGCTTATTGTATACTCTAAGCTTAATTCAAGAACAGAACCTAGCATTCGTATTTGGAGATACTCTCCATGGCTCTGTGTTCTACAGTTCTATTGGCTTCCCTAAATCCTCCAATTCCTACAAAGACAATTTCGAATATCAAAGATGCAAACCCCAGGAATCCAACCTTTTTGCCAACCACTCAGAACAGAAGAAATGCCAAAGGTCAATCAATTGTTTCCCTTTCCATCACGAAAACAGCACAAACCAGCACATTTGTGAGTTTGAATTAATTTATTTTTTTGACCCATCCAACTACTCCATAATCTGTGCTTATTAGCAATCACAGGCATCAGGTGATCATTTAGGGTATTATTAATCATTTGCTCTAACCCTGCAGGAGGAATTTTGCATTGATCGTAAACAAAAATTGGAAACATTTGGAGATAGACTCACAGAAGTTGGATGAGTGTCACTTGCTGGCGGATAGACAACTTCAATGGATGAGTGTCACTTGCTGGCGGATAAGGAGGCGGCCCCAAAAATTAATATTGCCGAAAATGTGATATCATTCCAGAAGAATCACGAGAAAGAGAAAGGTAACACCAGCTTGAGACATACCCAGATGGTGCAGAATGAGTCTTGCTTTTGGGAAGGTTTCATGATTGAATCAGGTTCGGAAAAGGAGTGGATGGGACGAAATCTCAGAAGGCCGAGCAAGCTTAGGAAAAAGAAAAGCAGATCCTGCGCGTCAGTGTACAGGAAAGAAAGAAAGGAAACAAGGCAAACAAATCTAGAAGGAGGAACAAAAAGAGCAAAAGAGCGAGAAGGTGAGAAGGAGATGCCGAAATTCCAACCGGGTTCCCAAATTCAAGTGGCAGGCGAATCAGTCAATGATAGCTGCATCGAGAACAGAAATGGGATCCTGAAGAGAGCACAGGAAGCGTGTAATATAGAAAAGATCTGGGCATTTGCAAAGGAAATTGGAGCAGGGGACTATGGCAACGAACATGAAGTGATGCGAAGACTGAAGGACATGGAGGAACGGGACAAAGAACTATTCAGGAAATCAAAGGTTAGTGCCGATGTTGTTGCGGGGATTGATGGTGTTAATTTAAAATGATTTTCTTGTCTATAAATACCAGAGGATTAGGAGGGGAGGGGAAGAAATTTGGAGTAAAAGAGTTAGTTAACAAAGAGAAGGTTAATTTTCTGTCTATACAAGAGTCAAAAACAGAGGTGGTGGACTATCAGTTATGTAGGACTCTGTGGGGCGCAGATAACTTTGATTGGGTAGCAAAACCATCAAGAGGGACTTCTGGTGGTTTAATTTGCATATGGAATAAGGAAATTTTGAAGAAGGAAAAAATAATTGAAGGGGAGAGTTTTGTTGGGGTGTTTGGCTTTTGGGGGGCCTCAGCAACACCGGTATATATAATGAACATATACTCTCCATGCGAAATGCCGGGTAAGAGAGCTCTGTGGATTAGCCTGAAGAATTTGATTTTGGGGATGGGTGGTAACTGGTGCTTGATGGGGGATTTCAATGCTGTAAGGAATGAGCAGGAATGGAATGGAGGAAGAAATAGGAGGAGGGAAATGGAGGAGTTCGACAATTTCATCAGTGAATGCGACCTCATTGATCTACCATTAATAGGTCGTAAATTTACATGGTACCAGCCAAATGGAACTGTTATGAGTAGACTGGACAGGTTTCTGCTTTCGGAACAGTGGTGTATCAATTGGGGGGAGGTCAAACAATGGGGAATGAAGCGAACATTGTCAGACCACTGCCCAATTTTGCTAAAAAACCAAATAATCGATTGGGGCCCTAAACCTTTTCGATTTTTTGATGCGTGGATTGGGATTCCAGAATTCAAGGAGTTGGTGAGTAGAACATGGAGGTCGACAGAGATCACAGGATGGCATGGATACCGACTAAAGGAAAAATTAAAGGAAACAAAGAAAGCTTTAAAAGTCTGGAGTAGGAACATGTTGACTGAGGTGGACTCCGACATACAAAAATACGAAGATTCTATTGCGACAATGGATTTGAAGGCAGAAGGAAACCCGTTAACAGCTGAGGAAGTGGATCTAAGAAGGAATAGCTTCCTACAACTGTGGAGATGCCAGAAAATGAAGGAGAGCATGTGGCGGCAAAAAGCTAGGAAGACATGGATGAAAGACGGGGATGCGAATACCAAATTCTTCCATAGGTGTGTGAAAGGAAGAAAGAGAAGGAATGAGATAGTCAGTATTCAGGTGGGAGACAAAGTTATAGATCAGGTTGTAGAGATCAAGGAAGAGGTGGCCAGGTATTTCGAGAAGGTATTCACAGAAGACAGATGGCAGCGCCCTCACCTTGACGGGATTGGATTTAAAAAGATCACTGAGGAAGAGAACTCAATGTTACTAGCTCGGTTTAGTGAAGAAGAGGTAAAGCAAGCGGTATGGAGTTGCGACTGCTCAAAAGCACCAGGACCAGATGGTTTTAATTTCAGATTCATAAGAGAAATGTGGGAAGAAATCAAAGATGACATGATGGGCTATGTGGAAGATTTTTATAAGCAGGGAAAACTAGTAAGAGGGGCAAATAGTTCATTCATTGTGTTGATTCCTAAGGTGATAAATCCCCAAAAAATAGAGGAATTTCGGCCCATATCCTTGATTGGGGTTATGTACAAGGTGATAGCAAAGCTCCTTGCCAATAGACTTCGTGTTGTGATGGACAAAATAATCGGAGAAAGCCAAATGGCGTTTGTTGGAGGAAGGCAAATGACGGACAGCATTATCATTGCCAACGAAATAATTGATGAAGCAAAGAGAAAGAAGAAAGCTAGTTTTGCATTTAAACTAGACTTTGAGAAGGCATATGACAACGTTTGTTGGGAGTTCTTGCAATACATGATGTCAAGGATGGGGTTTAAACCGAAATGGAGAAGATGGATAGACGAGAGTTTGAGGACAGCAGAGGTTTCTGTTTTGATCAATGGTAGCAATACCAGACAAGTGAAAATCAACAAAGGCCTTAGACAAGGGGACCCTCTATCCCCTTATCTATTTCTGCTAGTAGCTGAAGGACTGAACGGAATCATCTCCTCAGCAGTTGACCGAGGACTTTTTGAGGGGATCAGTGTCGGTATCAACGAAAGGAAGTGGTCACATCTCCAGTTTGCAGACGATACAATCCTGTTTGGCAAAGCAGAGGAGGAGAATATATGGGCAGCGAAGAGCATCATGAGAATCTTCGAGTTGGTGTCGGGATTGAAGATTAACTTCGGCAAAAGCCAGCTCATGGGCATAAATGTTTCAGATGAGTGGAAAACAAAAATGGCTCACATATTGAATTGTAAGCAAGGTGCTTTCCCCTGTAAATACCTTGGAGCAACAATAGGAGGCAATTGCAGAAGCATTAAGGTATGGAAACCTCTGATCGAGAATTTTAGGAAGAAATTGTGCTCCTGGAAGGGCAGATTTCTTTCCCTTGGAGGAAGGATCACTCTCCTCAACTCCGTGCTGTCCAACATTCCAGTGTTCCCCATGTCAACGCACCTGCTCCCAAAAGGTGTGATCCTCTCCCTAGACAAAATCCGGAGGAACTTTCTATGGGGAGGAGAAGAGGGGAAGAGAAAAACCAGTTGGGTTTGTTGGGATAAAGTATGCAAAAGTAAAAAGGAGGGTGGGCTTGGAGTTAAAGAGCTGAGGAGGTTCAATCTCGCTTTGCTGGGCAAATGGTGGAGTAGATTAGCAAGAGGGAGTGATGGTCTCCTTTACAGAATTATTAAAGAAAAATATGGGAGTGTGGAAGGCCATTGGCTAGAGTGGATGCAAGAGAATAGTCACAATGGGTCCAGCTGGTGGAGAAACATTTGCATATTAGACCACGTCGTTCACAATAAGAGGGGATGGCTTAGTGATGGATTCAAAGTAAAGATGGGAGACGGGAACACTGTGAGATTCTGGAAGGATGTATGGATCGAAAATCAGACCCTCGCTAACCAGTTCCCAAGGTTATTCCTGGTGTCTACAGGGAAAGATGATAGAATCTGTCAAATGGGAAATTGGAGGCAAGGAGAATGGAAATGGTCAGTACAGTGGAGAAGATCATTGTTTGAATGGGAGAAGGACAACTGCTCGGAGCTCCAGGCCTTGCTGGATAATACTCATCCTGTGCAAGATCAGAAGGATAGGTGGGAGTGGAAGCATGGTAAAGACGGTGAGTATACTGTCAAAGCAGCATATAATCTGTTATCAAGCAATAGTGGACGTGATAAAGCATGGATTTATAAAAGGCTGTGGAGCAGCTTAATCCCAACAAAGGTCAGTGCATTTGCTTGGCAAGCCTTTCAAGACAGAATTCCCACCAGAATCAACTTAATTAGAAGGGGCATTATAACTGACCCTAACCAAGCATTTTGTGGATTGTGCGGGGAAAGCATAGAAGACAGCAATCACCTGTTTATCCATTGCAGAATTTCTAGCTCGGTGTGGCACAAATGTTTGCAATGGTGGAGGATATCTGTAGCTACGCCTAATACCTGCCAAGAAACATTCGAGCAACACCAATCTTTCTTTAAAGAAACTGTAGTGAGAGCAGGGTGGGATGTTGTCTGGTTGGCATACATATGGTCTATATGGATGGCAAGGAATGGAAAGATTTTCAGGAACTCTGAGTGTGAAGTAAACAGAATATTTGAGTTTGTTCAACTCAGAGCCTTCAGCTGGATTAAAGGCAAAACATATGGGTATTCTTTTAATATGTTCGAATGGATGCTGGAGCCGGTATTGTGCTTAAGAGCCAAACGAAAGAATTAATCTGGCCTTCAAGGACGGAAAGGTCCGCAGGATATTTTGCATGACTGAACCTGTCGGAACCTCAGATTGCAGCTGATAGGTTCCGACAGGGTCAGGAAACTGAGCTGCTATTTTCTCCAGCTAATGTAATTTGTATACAGGGCAGGGGTACCCCTTGTACTCCATGGAATAAAATTCCTTTGCTGTGCAAAAAAAAAAAAAAACTCACAGAAGTTGGAGAAACATCATCATTTGAGAGTTTGACCATGATTGATGCTGGTCAACGCCTAGGTATCGACCACTATTTTCAAGATGAGATCGAACAAGTTCTTCAAAAGCATTATCTGATACA